GGGACCATGACATTTTTGGTCAAAAACTGCTGAACACTCTGTGGTGTGGGCAGGTGTGTTGTCATGGCAGAAGAACCAGTTACCTGTTTGCCACAACTCAGGATGTTTCTTCTGCAAATTTTTTTTTATTTTAATTTTTAATTTTAAAGATGTGGGGTGCAATTCAGGGTTGAATATAAAAATGTTCATTATACAGGTATCCTTGTTGATGAGGTGTGCCCCTCTTCCCTGACAGTTTCCCACTACTGTCAATCCCTTTCTTAGAGTATTATAATAATTGTTCAAGGTCTACTTATGAGTGAGAACATATGGTATTCTGTTATTTGTTTCTTTGATAGATCACTGAGAATGATGGACTCTAAATCCATCTAAGTTGCTGCAAATCTTGGTGCAACCTTCTCAAAACTTCCAAAGAAAAACTTTGGTTGACTGTTTCATCTGGAGGAACAAATCCTGAGCATACTATGAGGGGCCGTCCCTTCAAAAGATAATTTTGATTTTAGTTAATAATAGTGTATTATATTCAAAATTTTTGCTAAATTAGTAGACTAGAGCTGTTCTGTCACAAGGGAGAAAAATGGGTAACTGTGATGATAAATATATTAATTTGTTCCACTATAGTAACCATTTTGCTACTTATATGTGTTTTATAACATCATGTTGCCTACCTTAAATATACACAATAAAACTTATTTTTTAGAGGAAAAAAACTTAGGGAACTTACCAATGAGAGAATGTTTGCTAATAAATGCAGGAACTTGAGAGATCTTTCTAGGTCATACAGACAGCCCTGACTTAGGATGGTTCAACTTAAGATTTTTTTTTACTTACAGTGGGTTTATAGGGATGTATGTCCAGGAACATCTATATGTTCCTTCCATTTATGCTGGACTAATAGGTACTTCTAGGCACTGTTCTTATTTGGCTCCGAGAGCAGATAGCCCCCACTAGCTGGTCAGCTTCCCTATGGGATATACCTGCCCCAATGCTCTCTAATTCTAAAGGTCAACATTTAATATACTGACATAAAAGGAGAAAAAAGTCTCAAAGTTCAATAGGGAGAAGCTGACATTTTAAAAAGCCATTTTAATTATAAACTAAAGGGAAATCTATAGGTACAGAGACCCAAAAGAAGTTCTAGAGTATCTGATAGAAAGAAAATAACCGTGGAATTAGATCTGTGGTTTCCAGATCTTGGCAGATCGCTTAACCTGTCAGAGGCTTACTTGTAAAACAGAAATAATCATGACCACTTTGTAGGAATTGTGAAGAAATAGTTTACGTGCAAGTGCAGACCTCAGACAGGCTGAAGCCTAAACTTGCTGCGAGATGTGCCTTAGGAAATGGCTGTCACTCTACCTACTCTCATAGCCAATTCACAGAATTGGACGGAGACTCTTTGTCACCATTTGCTTGCTCCTGTGAACGGGCAGGCCTTTAGCCAGACTCCTTAAAAGATAGATGAAAGGGGAGTCAGGAGAGTTCAAATCCCTGTGACGATGGCAAAGAGGGCCTCTCGCCAGCGGGAACATTATCCTAAGCAACTGACAGTAGCCAAGACCCTATGTCTTCATGGGGAATAGCGGAACTTCAGAAGCTTAATCCCTATGCAGGAGCTGTGGGTCCTCTATTTAGCCATTTCTCCAAATCTCCATATCCCTTATCACTAAAGAAATGTCTACACTGTGCATCCACTGGAATCTTTCCAGCAGTCTCATCCATGTCCTGTGGACAGTCACTCAACATTAAAGGCTTGGCACATCTAGAAGTACAAGAAAAGTCAGCACCCTTCTGTCACCCCACCCTCAAACAACATTGACCCTACCCAAGATAAAATACGCTTATCTGCTGATAGGGTATCCTGGTTTCTCATAGTTTCATTCACTTTCTTCACCCTTGTCTTGAGAACACTCTCTAAAATTCCTTTTTGTCAATGTGGATATGTCTTTTTCGCATTCCCAAGCTTACTTCCTCTCTTCTCTTGAAGAAAATCTAGGACAGGACATGTGGGCTTGATACCAGCCTAGAAAGTGATACTCAGTTGGAGGAAATAAACAATTATTTCAGAATAGCTCTCCACTATGGCACCAGAACTGTCTAAGACCTGGTCTTTGCACATCTTGGTCTCTGCATCCCTGTAAAGAATGACTCACTTTTTGAGAAAAAGTCCCTCTCCTATCCTCCTGACCCACCCTTCCCATGTTCTCAGTGGTTCTACTCCTATTTTATTAATTTCTCCAACAAATATTAATTGTCTACTAGGCACCAAGTTCTGTTACAGATAATGAAGACACAACAGTGAAAAACAAAAACAAAAACAAAAAAATCTGCCTTTACATTTGAGTAGAAGAGGGGGAAGACAAACAATAAACAAAACCAGCAAGTAAATTATAAGCATGTAAGGTGATTTAAGTGAAAAAAATCTAGGGGCATAGATAATTGCAGAAGTTATGTCATTTAAAATCCAATAGTGAAACTAGCCTCACTGATAAGGCAGCCTTCCAGCAAAGACTTGATGGAGTAAATCTATGGAAATCCAGGGATACAACCTTTCAGGAAACAGATGATGCAAAGGCCCAGAGGGTATTTATATTTGAGGACAAGCAATGGGGTTGGTGTGCTGGAGCAGAATGAGCAAGGTGGGAATTAGGGAATGAGGTCTACGGAGATAATAAGAAAAGGAAATAGATCATCCATGGCCTTCGAGGCCATTATAAGGACATTGGTTTTTACACTTACGAGATGGGAAGTCATTGGCGGTTTTAAAGTGGAGGAATGATGTGATCTGATTTACGTTCCAAAGCTCATCTTGGCCACCCTGTTGAGACTAGAAGGAGGCAAGCAGAGCAGGGACAACAGGGAGGTGGCTGTAGTGATCATCCAGGTGAGAGATACTGGTGGTCTAGAATAGGTAGTTCTGAGAAGTGTCATATTTTGAGGGTAAATCCAGTAGAATTTATTGATGCATGAAATATAGGATGTGGGAGAAAGGGAGGAGGGAGGAGTCAAAGATGGCCCCGGAGCTTTGGCCTGTGCACTTGTAAGAGTGGAATCGCCGCTGGGTCACAGGGCAAGTTTAGTGAGTGCCTGAGTCCTCCACAACACAGTTTGCTCCTTTCTAGTTGGAACTTAGTGTGGGCTTAAGATGTCTAACTGGAATTTCATCTTGCAGACTTGAACACTGCATTCCTCTTTCAAAAACTCAAATAACAAATATTTCAAAATGTCAAGCAAAACATTAAAAGGTTTATTGAAATTATATGACCATATATTCCTAACACAATGAAGAATGTGACAATTATGATTTTCATAAACTATTTTGTACTTGCCGAAGCAAGCCTAAACACAAAAGCAAAAGCAAATCCAGGTAAACACAAATAAAAACAACACTTGATGCTACTTAATAACTTTCATGAAGCAATCATAAATGATTTTTTAAGTCAAGCTTCGGGACTGCTGAATTTCATATACTTAAATGCGGTTGGCCACACACAATCTTTGCTCCCTACCCATCCCATTGCTCTTAATTCATCAACCTCCTCACAAAAGGTGAAAAGGTATTAAGCAAAAATCATCATCATCATCATTCAGAAACAGAGATAAAGTAATGTTTTTAAGTCTCTAAGTCTGTGCACAAATCAATGTTTTCTGACCATATGAGAAGCAACGAAACCAATTCTCTAGTTCTTGTTCTCTTATTTTCTCCTCGCCATGGATTTCTCAATGATTGTTAATCCATTTGGTTATTGGGAGTAATTATACGTAACCAGAAGCCCCAACTATTTTTTAAAATTCATGTTGCAGAAATTTTTATGGGGAATTGTACAAGTGTTCGCCTACATAGATCTCCTCATGAGAAAGACAACCTTAAACTCTTATAAAGACTGGGTCCCAAGTGACGAAGGCAGATTTCTGTTGACCACACAGAGCCTGAGATCACTGGACCTCTCAGGAGAGTCAGTGGGCAGGAGAGGGTGGTTTGGAGAGCTTTGCTTAGCCCTATAATCTCCATAAGCTCCCAAACAAACCTGTCATTCACCATGTGCTTTCAGTTTCAAGTTGAGTTCTCTGCATTGGACCTCAACTGTCCCCAGTCAAACTGTTATTCATAGGATCCTCCCGCCATACAGAAATCATTAAGGTGATACTGGCAAGAGATTCTTGACCAAGAGCGTTGAGTAATGAATGTGGCATAGATTTAGAGTTAAGGTTTCTTTTCTTCTTTGTAACCATACACACAAAAAAATTTACCCAATTTTAAGAATCAGGATACGTTTTTCTAAGGCAGTTACAAAACAAAACAAAAAACAGAAAAGACAACCTTAATGTGTGTGTTCAATGAGGGAAAATTGTATTGAGTAGGTTCCCTTCAATATTTAGATGTTATTATTGATAATCTTTTAAAAATTTATTTATTTTTTTCTGTGCCCAATGCAAGACTCTTGATATTATTGATAACCTAAATCCAGAAATCATGAGAGGTTTTTTCAATACTATTCTTGTTTACACAGAAAAACTTAAAATTTTGGTTTATTAAGTATAACTTTCACGATAAATATACAAAGAAGTATATTCATATCAAAATGTCTGAAAAATATTCATTCATGTAAAAAATTTAAATTGGAATATTATGTCAATTTAACTGCTTCAATAGAGAGAAAAAAATTGCTTCAGGATTGCCTCTGTCTGTAATGTTATTTTTTAAAAAGTGTTTCACCATTTTATTAAATGCCTACTACTCCTTAGTTCTTAAACTTTTATTTTGCTGTCTTAGAAGAATAAAGATTGCTATTAGGGATATTCCATTCAGAAATAAAGTTCTGTATTCCATGGAGCACTTTATGCTTTGCCTCTTCTTTAAACTCTGAGTTTTAATGTAGAGAATGTTGTTCTAATAGAGTTTACCAATGAAATATTAAGGAAGAAAGAATGGATAAACCAACGGTGAACATCATGCTAAGAAAACATAAAATCATAAATAAGATCCTTCAAACATGGTTCATCTCATTCTCAGGGAGCTTTTGACTTCCACATCGCTGAGTACTCCACGTCACTTCATGGAATTTCCACACACCTCTCTTCACTCCTCTGACTTCTTCTGTCTAACATGGGCTGATATATTTCAGCCACTACACAGTAACCAGAGTCAGGTGTTAAAGCTTCAATTTCAACAACTCTGTGAATCCCTTCATATACCTTTCGCTCCTATGCAAAGGATAAAGAAAATCAGATGATAAATGGTTGCTGGTAAGTCACTGCTCTGCTTTTGTTAAATTAGTAAGTTGTACACGGTTATGGTAGCATGTGTTTGCTGGAGGAGATGGACTGTGGGGTTCCTTTCTCAACATATCCTCATTCCTCAGAGTGCTAGACCATAGGAAGGGAGCAGGTCAAGTGGCGTTTAGGTGCTAAATGACTTTTCCTCAAGAGCTGCCAAATGATTGACCCAGTGGTCAATCTCTTTTTCAAGAATTTGAACTCTGCAGGGCAGAGAATGGAGTAGACTTCAGAGATAGTTTAGACATACAATACGTGACCACAGAGACAGAAAGTCTCAGACAGCACAAGATCCTTCAGAATTCGCTTCCCATTTCCCCTTTCCAGTCACTGCAAAGTCTGCCAGCACATCTTTTCCTGCTTCTGACTGCCCCTGAGATTGTTTATCTTTTCATAAACTCCTCTCCTCTTTTGTACTGAAACAAGTTTTGATAGGGTTTCTGTTCCTTACAACCAAAGGAACTCTGTCTTCCATGGACACCAAAAAAGGAACATTTGGTTAGTTTCCCACCAAACCCAGATAAAAGCACTGATGTTGGGTCAGAATATTATAGCAACCTTGGTACAAGTGATTCAAAAGCTGCTTTAACATAAGATGTGTAAAGTCCATAAAAATGAATATGTATGGCTGTCAAGTGGAATTAAATATTGTTAGTACCAATCTTTAGATATGCACAGAAAACCAAAAGGAGACAAGCTGAGGAACATACACACATTCTGCTGATGAAGCAAGCACCAACTGTTGATCAATGATGGTAAGAGTAAGAGGAATTTTTAAAAGATAAGGAAAAATAAGAGGAGCTAGAATAGCGTAAGACAGGACATACATAATGTGGCCAAAATATTAGTTAAATAAACAAACAAATACTAAACTTATCTATTAATCTGAACTTACCTTTTCTAATGAATTGTTAATTAGAAAAACTCGGTATATTAAATCATAGTAATTTTCCATAGATATATGTTTTCCTTTTTGGTCTCCATATGGCAATTTTGGAGCACGGAGAATCACAAACAAAGATCCATTAACTTGGGTTATATTCATGACTGGAGGATCTATTTTTGCTGGAGAAAGAATTAGGAAATTTTTACAAATCATTAAATAAATGAATTACACAGAGACACATTATGCATAATGACAAGTCATTAAATTGAGATATCTGGCAAAAATCATTATGAAGAGATACTTATAGCTATAAAATTAATTTAACAGGATTATGTCATATACTTAGGAGCAAGATATCTTGCTTAAAAGAAAAAAATATTATGCTATGTTGGAAGAAGCAAAATAATTTTTGGTTCATACATTTTGTTACAAATAATCACATCATTATTAAATAAGAAAGATAATTATATATATAAGCACTTTAATTGTTCCAGATTCACTATTTTGTTGCTAGGATGAATTTTGTTGTCGTTTTCTTGTTTGAGTGCACCAATTTATTGTTATGTCTAATTTAATCCTTAACCCATAAGTTAAATTTTTTAAATTTAATAATTATATATTTTCATTTCTATGAGGTTTATTTGGATCTTTTCAATCTGGCCTTAAAATCAATAATATTTTGCTTGTGATAATGTATTTATTCCCTCTGCTATATCTTTAAGCGTAGTCATTTTATTATCTGTTTCCAATATTGTAAATTCTTGAGGTACTGGTTGGGTCAGTGTTTATTTTTTCCAAACTTGCTTATGTTGATCTGGTCCTTGTATTTTTATTGTAAGCACACGTTCAAAAGTCGATACTTTCCTTTTTGTAGCTTTGGTTTGAATTTTTTATTTTAAATAAAATTTGTATTTACCTATAAGATAGATAGACAGACAAATAAATACATTTTAAATATTTGGCTAAAATCTTTAAACATAAACTCTCCTGTATAAGTATCACCCAGATCAAGAAACAACATTACAATTTCCCCAGAAACCCTCTTAATGTTTCCTCCAATCACACAATTCCAAAGGTAACCAAACTTGCACTGACTTCTATCACCATATAGATTAGTTTTGGAATCATACATATACACTTTTTTATCTGACTTCTTTCAGTTAAGTACAAATACAGTATAGTTATAGGCTGAACTGTGTCCCCTTCAAGTTCATATGTTGAAATCCTTAAACTCCAGGACCTCAGAATGTGACTCTATTTGAAGATAGGTCCTTTAAAGAGGTAATTAAGGTAAAATGGGGATATAAAGGTGGCATCCGTAGACCCTAATCCAATGTGACCGTTGTCCTTTGTCAATTAAAGAATGACAAGGTTTATAAATTTGTAAAGGAGAACTTTATTTCTCATAAAGGGTTGCAGCTTGCAAGGTGGTCATTTTGGCAGGCTGGGAAGTGTAGCCTATGGTCATATCATTGGTGGAATCTTTTGAGAGGGATGGTTTCTGTTTAGCCCTTAGGAAAGAAAGCTTAATGGCAGGCAGTGAGGGAGGGGGTACAATGAGGTGTATCCGATCCCTCCATCCCGTAAAGGCTGAGAACTCCATTTTTAGGGTATCTCAGGGGTCCGCTTGGCCAGAAGAAGGTCTACTCAGTTGGCTGAAGGACTTAAAACCTTGCTTTTATTTTTCACCTTATAATAAATAATCAGGACACAGACATTCAAGTGCACAGAGAAAAGATCATATGAAGACATAACAAGAAGGCGGCTATCTACAAGCCACTAAGAGAAGCCTTATAAGAAACTAAACCTTTAGAATCCTTGATCTTGAACTCCTAGCCTGCAAAACTGTGGAAAAATAAACTGTTGGTTAAGTTGCTCAGTCTGTAGTATCTAATATATATGTGTGTGTATTCATCTATTCATCCATGTTGTAGCATGTATCAATAGTTTGATCTTTTGATTGCTGTATAGTTATTTAATTGTATGAATACCACAATTTGTTCACTGTGTAATTCACAGGCTTTTTTGGGTTGTTTTCAGGTTTTAGCTGAGTAATTTACAAGTAGTTGCAATGAACGTTCTCGTACATGTCTTTTGGAGAACATGCATTTTGTTGGGTATATGCCTAAGAATAGAATCTTGGGTAATAGGGCTTATGTATGTTTAGTTTTTATAGATATTGCCAAACAGTTTTCCTTAATGATTATATCAATTTATAGTCCCTTCAGAGGTATATGAGAATTCCCATTTTTTTCACATTCTTTCTAACACTGGGCAGAAATTATTATTTTCAAAATTTTATTTCAGCCATACTAGCAAGTGTTTAGTACCAATTCACTGTGTTTTTAAGTTGCATTTCCCTGATAACGGAATTAAGCACCTTTTCAAATGTTTATTGGCCATTTGGATATCCACTTTAATGCAGAGCCTGTTCAAGTCTTTTGCCATTTTAAAATTGGTTGTCTTTTTATTATTAATTTGAGAGTTCTTTTGTACATTTGGACATAGTATTTTGTCACATAAATGTATTTCAAATATATTCTCTCTATAGTATGCATTTTCATCATTTTAATGGTATATTTTGATAAGCAATTCTTAATTTTAGTGTAATCTAATTTATCAATTATTTCCTTTATTATTAGTATTTTAGGGATCTGCCTACCCCAAAGTTATGAAAATATCCTCCTATATCAGCAAACATCAGATGTAGCAAATATTTTCTGTAAAGGGCCAGATAATAAGTATTTTAGGTTTTGTGCGTCATATGTATCTCTGCTACAACGACTCAACTTTGCCATTGCAGTGCAAAAGCAGTCATTGGCAATACATTAAAAAATGGAGCCGGGCTCGGTGGCTCAGCCTGTAATCCCGCGCCTTGGGAGGCCGAAGTGAGTGGATTTCCTGAGTCTACAGGTTCGAGACCCGCCCGGGCAACTTGGCGAGACTTTGTCTCTACAATAAATTTTAAAAAATTAGCCGGGGGTGGTAGAGCGCGCCTGTAGTTCCAGCTACTTGGAAGACTGAGGCGGAAGAATCGCGGAGCCCACAGGTAGAGGCTACTGTGGCCGGAGTGGCACTGTACTCCAGTCTGGGCGACAGAGTGAGACTCTGACTCAAAAAATAAATAAATAAATAAATAAATAAATAAATAAATAAAAAATAAGAAAAAAATGGGCGTGACTGTGTGCCAAAACAGAAGTCCAAATTTGGCCCACAGACTGTAGTTTCTGAGTTTTATTGATTTAATTCAACTGACGAGATTTTGTAAATGGGTGACATGGAGAGATAAGACTTATTTTTTCCCCCAGTTGATCCAATCTCATTTATTAAAAAGATCATAATTACCCTATTGAACTGCACCGTGGACATAAATCAAATGATCATATATGTGTTGTGTTGCTCTGAACTCTGGTTTAAGAATTTGGCTTTGCTGCTGCAAACTTTTCGGTTGTCCCATTAACCTGGTAGGACTTTGAGTTGGTGTTTTCAGACACATGAAAATTGTATGTGTATTTGAATCTCAAACCTTTTTGAATTTAGAAGACACTTGTCTCCTGGCAGAGTCAAGACAGAAACATATACATTTATTTCCTCTGTTTACGGAAAGCATTATTCCTAGTCTGCTATTTATTTATTTATTTATTTAGACAAACTGTGTTGCCCAGGCTGGTTTCAAACTCCTGGATTCAAGCCAGCAGCCTTATTTGTAACTGGGATTACAGATGCATGCCACCACACCCAGCCTTGTCACCCTTTTCTTGAGCATGTAGCCCTCAGAGGGTCCAAGACTTCTGTGGGGTTATTAGTTGTAACTCTTTTCCTTGCGCTGGCCTAAAACTTGGCTTTTGTCCTTGGAATGTCAGTTACTACCCGGGGTCTAGCTACCAAGTTGAGCAAATGCCTTCAGGGCAGCTGGGGCTGCACTATGTTTATTCCCTGGTTTTCCCTCTGATTCCCAGTTACTTTGTTCTGGCCTCTGAGGATTTCCTTTATTTTCATTCCTATTCCTCTGTGGAGTTAGGAGAATGTGTTATGTTTTATCCAGACTTTTTTTTTTTTTTTTTTAGAAGAGGCATGTTTTCTTCCCCTAGGATATTTAATTTGGAACCAAAAGTTGCTAAATCACTCTTGCCTAATTGCTTGAAAGAGAAGGAATTTCCCCTTTGTTTATATTTTAATCCTCTAAAAGAGTGGATATTTAATCCCATTTTCGTGTTCCTTGCTCCAAATTCTGCTGACCATGGACCTCTTGCCTACCACAGCTTAGTTTTGTAAGAGTATAATGCATAATTAATTTTCTCTTAGATAAAAACATACTTCTAACAGTCTTGTCATATATTTACACCACAAAAAGCAACCTTATTGACTCAGGTGTTTAGACTTCACCTGAAAGAAAATAGTTGAACATAAATACTGACAAGATAAAACACCCTTGAGTATTTTTTCTCATGAAAATACTTATATTTAAGCTAAGTAATATTTGCCCCTACTGAATAGTATCTGCCCCTAGCCATACTTATCGAATAATTTTCTTTTAATCACATGAATACAGAGCCTGTCCTTTGAATGTATGAATTCATCATCTTATGTTTTAATTATCTAATATGATAGCTAATTTTAAATACAGATGTCATTATTCCTTTGTGATAAAGCTCACATTTCTAGAAACAGTGAACTGGTCTGCTGCTATTACAGGACAAGCAAGAAACCTAGAAGTCAGCTTTGCCATCTTCCTCTCCCTTACCACTATATTCAACCTATCACCAAGTCCTGCCAATTTTTCTTGCTAAATGTCCCTCCAATGGTGAATTTTCTATAGCCCTTTCCATTGGCCAAATTCTGTCTCCTGCAGACTATTACAGGAACCTACTACTTTGACTCATAGGCATCCAATCTGTCTTCTTTTTTTATCTGTTCTCCCAAATACAGCTAAAGTGATCTTTTCAATACACAAGTCTGATCACGTGGCCCCCTGATTAAAGTTTTCTTTTTTTTTTTTTTTTGAGGAAGTCATAACTCCTTAGAAAATTTTCATACCTGGCTTACTTTTCCAGTCCCACCTTGTTACGTACTCCTTCCTGCATGCTCTTCTTTGCTGTACCAGTTGTACTTTTTAGTCCCTTGCCTCTGCTTTGCTTCCTCCTGCCAGAGGGCCTTTTTAAATGCTGTTCCCTTTGCC